TAAGTCAATGGAGTGAGACCCTGTTTAAAAGATAAATTTATTTATAATTATATGTATACGTGTGTGTCTGGGTGTAGGTTTGGGCACATGAGTGAAGTGCTGAAAGAAGCCAAAAGAAGGTAACAGATCCCGTCTGAAGCTGGAGTTACAGGCAGCGGTGAGCTTCCAGATGTGGGTGCAGGGAATGGAGCTTGGGTTCTCTGCAAGGGCAGCACATACTCTTAACTGTTTTGCCATTACCTCTCAAGTCCTATGATTGTTCTTAAAGTCTAAACAGAATAAGGTAGTGGATAGAAGAGAGTAAAGTAGAAAGAAACAAGTAGGTAAAACAGAAATGAGTAATTCTTGACACTCCTATAATGAGTGTACTTGAATGAAAAAGGTTCCTTTATTGCCTTGACGTGGGTAAGGTGGAGAATTGAATGAGCAGGAGAATTTGAAGAAAAGAGGCAAAGTTTACTTGTACTTAATAAAACACAAAGAGGTGATAGGTGTAGTTCAGTGGTAGAGTTCTTTCCTCCCATGCCTGAGGCCTGAGGTTCGATCCCTAGCACCACAGAGAAGAAAAATAAGTCAAGATGAAACACAGGGAACTAAGACTCTTGCTGAGCAGATAAGAATGTGGGATTCAAAATGGTACAGAAAACCACTCAGTCTGTTGACTTCGTCTTTGCTTGTAAGGCTCAGTCATTTTGATTAAAGTTTATCTACTTATTCAGTATTTTCCATTCTCCACCACTATCAGATGGCTGCTTTGTTTGTGTCTTGGCAAGTGAGAGAACAGCTTTTTCCAAAAGATGGAGCCCACGATCTGGTAGAGTTTGTTTGCTTGTTTTGTTTTTTAAAATGCCTTTAATCCCAGCACTCAAGAGGCAGAAGCAGGCAGATCTCTATGAATTCGAGGCCAGCCTAGTCTACAGAACTAGTTCCAGGACAGCTAGAAACCCTGTCTCGAAAAACCAAAAAACAAACAAGCAAACAAAAAAGCACTCAGCAAGGTGTCAATCTGTAGCTGTGTGTGTGTGTGTGTGTGTGTGTGTGTGTGTGTGTGTGTGTGTGTATCATTTTTTATCTTGCACTTCCAATTGTCACAAATGGGTAGGTAAATCACTGGACAGTTGTACCATACCAGTCAATGGAGTGATTGTATAGAAAACATTTTCTATGTCTCGGTTTTGTAATAGCTAGTCAACCTGTTGTTTGCTGTTCTTTAAAGAAATATGTTTTTTCTAACTTGAGATTAAAGGATGAAGACCAGCCTGCTCACTTTCCTACCAGGACAATGGATGCACTTGCTTTCTACCACTGTGGAAATGGAGGGTGATAAAACAAAACAAACCAAAATTTTGACTTATCACTGCCTTGTTTTCCCACTGTTATTACTTCACTCCAAGTTGCCTAGTTCTATTTGTTGTTTTGAATAAGCCGAGGGAGATAGAAGGTGAAGGAGAGAAATGTGGGGTCAGCCTTTACATTTGAAAATGTTTTTTTTGGTCTGATAAATCCAATCACCATCAACAACTGCAAGTACTTTGAGAGTAGCTCTAAGGTCACAGGGATGATTTGAAATGTCACTGGTGGCAGATTTATCAAGAGAAAAAGACAGCGTCAGTGGGAAATTACAAGACAGCTGGTTATCTAGAGCATTTCCTCACATGTTTGCTAAATTCTAAGACATGAAAACACTAATGAAATATGAAATTGCATTTTTTCATGTTGGATTAAGATAGGGTAGTTAGAGATGCATTTTTACATGCTAAATACATGCTGTAGAAAACAAATATTTATCACATATCCTGGTTCACAGATACCACTTTTTCTATTGAATACATGGTGAAGTTGCTGGCCCCCCAATAGTGATTGTTCCTACGGGAAATATCATTCATATTATGATCATTCAAGTAGTGCAGCAAGCGATAAGGATCACATAGATTTTGTTTCTCTTGCAAAATTTATGCATCCCTTGAATCCACACCTTAAAGGTATTTACCCACTGGAGAGTCTTGATTGGAATCAGTTGAAGAATGATAGCTTCCTCACAGGAAGGGAGGAGATTCAAATCCTTGGGAAGTACAGACCTATTAAAAACCCAGGTGCTTCCAGACTTGCAAAGAGTATTTCCAGACAGAGATGGGAAGAGAAGGCTAGAAGTGAGTTTATATTTGAAAGAAACATGTCTTTAAAAGAAGAAGCACTTCAAGGTGTTAGAGAAAGACTATTTGAAACCTTCAGGAAACTGCTGGTCCTTCTGAAATGCAGCAGAGCAACAAGAAAGCATGTAATAATAATAATCCATGATCACAAGAGAACTTTATGTGGCTTAAGAAGCATCTCTAAAGTCGCTCTGTAAGGTGAAGTAGCGCTGGGTGTATATGTCACAAAGCAGCTTAAGAAACTATAGCATTTGCCTGATAAATGAGTCAATGCCAAACTGTAAGCCTAAAACACATATGTATGAGCAATACTAAATGGACTCATTAGGTTGTATTTATAGACTTATTTATTTTTATTCTATTTGTATGTATGGGAGTTTCACCTACATGTACGTCTGTGTACCATGTATATGCCTGGTGCCCACAAAGATAAGAGGGCATCAGGTCCCCTGGGATTGGAGTTACAGATGATTGTGAGCCACCATGAGAGTCCAGCTATGGGCCTTTTAACCACTGAGCTGTCTCTTCAGTACCTGTATTTAAAAATAATGTGTATTAAAGTATAAGAGGCCATGAAATTAGAAGGAGTTGGAAAATGTGGGAGGAGTTAGAGGGAGGAGAGGGAGAGGGAAAATGATGTCAATCCATTATTCATATAAAATTTCCCCCCAACACCTCTAAGATTTAATAAAAATATTGTTGAACAAAATTTAAAGAGAAAATACAACATTCAGCTTTTCTTGGCTCTGTAATTTTTGTTTTGTTTAATTTATTTACTTGAGGTTCACAAAGTGAGTGAATGAAGCTCCATAACTAATTCAATGACAATGTCAGCAAAGGGGACTTTTGGATAGGGCTATAAATTGGTACAAAGCTTCTGAAGGGAATTTGTCTTTAAATTTTCAAGGACTTTAAAAACGTAGTAACCTTTGACTTCATATCACCACTTCAAAAAATTCATTTTAAGAACTAATTCAGTGTGCATAAGGTTTTGTCCACAAGATCAGTGATCCTCATCTCCTCTCCTGCCTCCCATTAGAGATGCTAATGGACACAGACTGAAAGACATTCTCAAGCCAGTGAAAATCACCTATGATGCCACCCAGAGACAATCACTCTAACACTCTTCTCGGTGTTAGTTTGAGACTATAACACATTATCACAAATGCATACAATAGCCCAAAGGTCATTTTCATTGAATTAGAATTACATGACTTTGCTCCCTCTAGCTCCTCCCCGCTACCCCCCTTGAGCCCCTCCCACCACCACCAGTGGATAGCCTCTTTTTCTTGGAGTATTATTGTTACACAAAAGTTTTGATTTGTAGTCATGTACCACAGAAATCTAATGGAGGGCTTATTCGTCTGGAGTCACGGTGTTGGGTGTTGGTAGTACTGGCCTTCCTTTTTCAAGCTTCTCTAGGCAACTGCAGTTTCTTGGCTAATGACATCCTTCCTCAAAGCCAGCCATGTTGCGTTTATCCTCACCCTTCTTAGACAGACACATCTCCTTCTGATGGATGCAAAGTAAGTGTCTACATAAAAAAAAAACATTTTAGATTTTATTTGTATGCATATGAGTGTTTTGCCTTCAAGTATGTTTGTGTACATATGCCTGGATCCTGTCAAGATCAGAAGAGGGTATCAGATCCCCTGAATGTGGAATTATGTATGTTTGTGAACTCCCATGGTGGTGCTGGGAACCAAACCTGCGTCCTCTCTCTGCAAGAACAACAAGTTCTATTAACTGCTGAGCCATCTCTCCAGGCCAAATTTCAACTTTTAAAGACAGATAAAACTGTCTTTAAAGATCACTCAGACAATTCAGGAAAATCTTCCCATCTCAAGGTTATTACAAATTTTCGTTTCTGTCAAATTCAGTTTGCCATGTAAATTAATATATTCACAGTCTTTGGGAGTGATGGAATGGACATCTTTGGGTATAAGCACACCACACAAATATATTCATGTATATCCCAAAGTTTTTCTCTAAAGTTGGGAACAAGTGATCATTTTATTTTGCTATTTTTCTACTTATATTTTAAGAATTTCTCTGTGTCACTGCATGTTTTTGAAAGCATTATTTAATCCATGTTGCATAATACTTCACTTTAGGGCACTACTGTGATTTAATTAAAAATTTCTCTACTTTTAGACCTGTAGGTTACTTTCAATATTTCTTAAAACCTAATTTAAAACTGTTTATGAATATCTTCCCATAAATCTTCATGGACGATTCTAATTAACCTCAGGATAAAATCCTGGGAGTAGAACTATTCGATGAATGTTTTAGAGAAATATCCCTTGAGATTCAGTATTCCAATAAATATTTTGTTAATACCTGATATACTTTTTTTCTTTTATAGAAAAACTTTGTTTTCTCACGTATTTTTACTTTTTTAATTTTTTTCTGCTAAACAATAGTTTATCCATTCCACTAGAGAAGTAGGTAAACTTCAGATTGCAAAACCAATGTAAATATAATTTTGAAGAATTAGAATATCTTGAAGAAACCAGCCACAGCTTAACTGAAGTGGATGCAAACATGGGTTAATGTCTACTGAGGAAGGTCACCTTCCTCTAGTATGTGAAAAGTTTGTGAGATACACTTCCTTAGTCATTGAGGAAGGAATTTTCTTTCTTGATTAACTGATACTATTTTTTTTTCAATTTTTTTTTTTTTTTTTTTTAGTTTTTTGAGACAGGGTTTCTCTGTGTAGCTTTGCGCCTCTCCTGGAACTCACTTGGTAGCCCAGGCTGGCCTTGAACTCACAGAGATCCGCCTGGCTCTGCCTCCCAAGTGCTGGGATTAAAGGTGTGCGCCACCACCGCCCGGCACTATTTTTTTTTTTGTAGCTCTTTTCCCCTCTCCTTTCGTTGGTTTCCACTTTCCATGGAGCTTCTTTAGACGGCTTTGCTCATCCTTAAAATCCTGATGCTCATCTCTGTAAAGGCCAAGGAAATGGAGTGTGCCCATGAGCGCAAAATCCATGTTGTGATTTGGATACCAGTCATAAGTCTCTTTCTTTTGGGCCAAGGGCGGCTCACTAAACATATTCACCACTTTCATGGACTTTGAAGCAGTAGGCCTGGGCACTTCACCAAAGATTCGAGCACTCAGATGAGACATAGGCAGTGCGTATTCTGCGTCTGACCTTGCTCACGCGCGTTCCAGAAAAAGCGTTTTCAAAATTTTTATGTGTATGTGTGTGTGTGCCACGTGTGTGAGCATACCTACGGAGAACAAAGAAGAGGATGTCAGATCCCCTAAAGCTGGAGTTGCAGGAGGTTTTGAGCCACCTGACGAGTGTTGAAAAATGAACTTAGATCCCTGCCAGAGCAGCAAGCTCCATTAATCGCTGAGCCATCTCTCTAGCCCTCATAGTCTTACTTCTTATTAGCAAACATTCATTGTACGTAGTGCTGGGTTCCATAAAGACAGCTTCTTTCAACTATATCATATACGTCAATCCCACGCCTCTCCGTTTTTCCTCTCACTCTCTTTATTCAAAAGTTTGCTTCCTTTTACCAGTCTCCTTCTGCTTTTGTGATATGCACGCATGTGTTTCATTTTTTTAATTATTTAATTATTTTTATGTGAATGAGCTTTTTGTCTTACATGTATGTCTGTGCACCATCCTCACGCAGTGCCTGTGGAGGCCAGAAGAGGGCGGCAGATCCTCTGGAACTGGAGTCAGACGATTTTGAGACACCATGTTGGTTCTGGGAACCGAAATAGGGTCCTCTGGAAGAACAGTCAATGGTCTTAACTGCTGAGCTCACTCTCCAGGGGCTGTGTGTTTCGACTTAATCTATGGAAGAAAGGGTGTGTTGAAGTTTTCCATTTCGGTTGTTTTCTTCTCATTTTCTTGGAGGCACAACATATGATGGTTCTCAGATATTTACATAAAAATCAGCTGGAGTATTTTTTTTTTTAAATGCAAATTTCAAGACTACGGTATGCCTGAGGTGATGCCAAGAGTTCGCATTTTTCATAGGCACCATAGGTAATTCTTTCTTTTATTTTTAATTTTTAAAAATTAGAATATAGCCGGGCGGTGGTGGCGCACGCCTTTAATCCCAGCACTCGGGAGGCAGAGCCAGGCGGATCTCTGTGAGTTCGAGGCCAGCCTGGACTACCAAGTGAGTCCCAGGAGAGGCGCAAAGCTACACAGAGAAACCCTGTCTCGAAAAAAACCAAAAAAAAAAAAAAAAAAAAATTAGAATATAATTACATCATTTCCTCCCTCCAACCCTTCCCATACCCCCCTCATTCCCTCTTAAATTTATGGGCTCTCTTTTTAGTTGTTATTGTTAGACATGCACACACACATATATAAGCATAAAATATCAATACAACCTGCTGCGTCTGTTTAGTGTTGCTTATATATACATAATAATCGGGTTTACCACTTGGTATTAGATAACAAATTCAGGGGCTAATCCCTGAAGAAGACTAAGTATTCTTTAGTTCACTATAGGTAATTCTGATGCAGGACTATAGGTAATTGTGATGCACAAGTGTACTGTTGTAGAGCAGTGGCTCTCAGCCTTCCTGATGCTGTGACCCTTTAATACCATTCCTCATGTGTGCTCACCCCAACCATAACAGTATTTTCATTGCTACTTCATAGTTGTAATTTTGCTGCTGTTATGAATTGTAATATAAATATTTGATCTGCAGGATGCTCTTAGGCAATCCCTGCGAAAGGGTCATTTGATGTGCCCCACAGGTTGAGAGCCCTGTTGTAGAGTTTCTCCAGTTAGAAAACAACAGAACTCAAATCCCAGGTTTTTCATCAAGAATGAGAACCTGGGATTGTTTAATCTCTTTATGTTCCATTGTCTGTTTTATCTCTAGAATAAAAATAACAACCCTGCCTACCATGAAGTGTTATTCGGAACATTAAATTACTAAATGTCGATGGAAACGGCAGCAAAGTACCTGACCACATTGTTCATTTTGATGCACAGGCTCATGCTTTGTGTTTCTGTTGGCCATATTTTAAACATTTTCTAACTACTAAATCATTTTATATGAGATGTTTCCCACAAGTAACAAGCAGTTGTATCTTTTTCCAATTCAGTCTGAAACTCTCTAATGAGGGGTTGATTTTTTTATTCCTATAAATCATTTTGCTTCAATGTTTTCATGTTGTTTGTTGTATTTCTCTATGCTATTCTGCTTAAATATTAGGGAAATTCAACATGATTGTAATTTATCTTTTAATTAAAAAAAAAACTTTTATCTGTTTTTGCTTACCAATGTCAAAGCTTTATCTTTGTCCCACCCCATTTTTATTTTTACAATAAGTAAAAATATACAAACAATACTTTTCTAATTAAAGGTTTATAACAATTTTTAAAATAGAGCATTTCTTGGGTTCTGCTGCCCTGGTACACCATTTCTTGGGAAGGTAGAATAAAGATGAACATATCCAGATTCATAGCAATCTTCTATTTGCTTTGTGGTGCTGAAGATTAAACCCAGTTTCTTAACCCATGCTAAGCAAGGGTTCTATCACTTAACTACATTCTCCAGCCCAGAATCACATTTATTCTTAAATTTTGAATTAAAAAAATTTTCACCAGGCAATATCTCATTTTGCGCACCTCATTTATTTGGCATACTATCGACTCTTTCAGTTGATCTTTCTAAACTTTGGACTCTGCTTCTTCATCTATGCACATGGTTGGAAAGTCTGGAAACCCTAGATCTCTTTTCAACAGCTCATTACATTCTGAAATGAAGTTTTACGCCTTTTAGGACTTGATTCTAACTCTGATCCCTAAACAAAGACTAGAGTCAATGTTTCTAGTGGTTTTGTTGTTGCTATTGTTGTTGTTGCTGTGAGTTGGTTGGTTTACTCAAAAACGTTTTCTCTGCCCTCAAAAATAGATGTAAATTATTTCTTCTATGGAATACATGTGGATAAAATTGAACCAATTAAATCACAGAAAAACGTGCTGACAAATATTTAGGGCTTAATGGATTGTGCTATGATATTTATAAGAATAAAGTTCCAAAATAGGCCTTTTTGTTTGTTTGTATTGCTGCTGTTGTTCCCCACCCCCACCTCACCCTCTTTGTTGTCTGCTTGTTTGGGAAAAACGTTTCTATAAGGGTTTCTTTCCTTATCGTCTGCTGGGTATCTTATACTTCCTTTTTTCATCTCACCAAATGATCTCAATTAGGGTACTTTGGACTAGGTAACGGAAACCCATTTGAAATGGTTAGTTTTCATTGTCAACTTAACTCAAGCTACAGTCACCTGGGAAGAGATTTTCAGTAAGGGATTGTTGGCTTATGGTCAGGTCTTGGGAGTGGCGGTGGGAGGGTGGAGGGTGGGGGTGCTGTTTTGATTATGTTAATTGATGTGGGAAGACAAGTTCATTGTAGATGGTACCATTCCCTAGGTTTGGATCCTGGATTGTATAAAAATAAAAGGGTGGGGGCACGGAGCTGAGCATAGGAATGTATACATCCATTTCTCTCTGCTCTCGTCTATGGATGTAATGTGACCACTTAGTTTTCTTCAGTGCCTGCCACTGTGACTTTCCTCAACAAGCATTATAACCTGGAATTGTGAGCTAAAATAAACCTTTTCTCTCTTAAGTTGCTCTTTTGGTTGGGGTAGTTTATTGAAGCAACAGCAATGAAATTAGAACACCATGCTTTAAAACAAGCTAAAATAATAAGGGGATTTTTTTTTATTCATTTTACATACCAACCACAGATCCCCCTCTCATCCCTCTTCCCACTCCCCCTCAGCCTCCCCCACCCTGACCCACCCCTCATCCCCTCCTCCAAAAGGGTAAGTTCTCCCATGGGGGGACAGCAAAGCCTGGTACATTCAGTTGAGGCAGGACCAAGCCCCTTCCCCCTGCATCAAGGCTGAGCAAGGCATCCCACAATAGATAATGGGCTCCAGAAAGCAAGTTCATGCACCAGGGATAGATCCTGATCCTACTGCCAGGGGCCCCTCAACCAGATCCAGCTACACGACTGTCTCCCATATGCAGAGGGTCTAGCCCACTCTCATGCAGGTTCCACAGCTGACAGTCTGATGCTCGTGAGTTCTTGTGAGCTTGGTTCAGTTGTCTGTAGATTTCTTCATCATGATCTTGACCCCCCTTGTGCATATAATCCCTCTTCCCTCTCTTCGACTGGACTCCTGGAGCTCAGCCTGGTGCTTAGCTGTGTATCTCTGCATCTGCTTCCATCAGTTATTGGATGAAGGCTCTATGACAGTTAGGGTATTCACCAATCTGATTACCGGGGTAGGCCAATTCAGACACCCTCACCACAATTGCTAGTAGTCTGATCTGGGGTCATCTATGGTGATATTTTATTTCAATAAGAGGATTCATTAACTCAAAACCAGGGGCCCAAAATACAGTATACTCTTAGTCTGTTGGGTCAGAGCTATTAGCAAGCCATAGGAAAGCCGGGTGGGGGTGGTGCATGCCTTTAATCCCAGCACTTGGTAGGCAGAAGTAGGTAGATCTCTGTATGTTCAGGGATACAGCCAGCATTGGAGACACACGCCTTTAATCTCAATACCAACCATAGAAGACTTGGAGGTCTGTACAGACAGGCAGTGATGAGGCGGTCATGTGGTTGGGTTTACAACCAATGAGAAGGCAGAACCAAAAGTCTTTATAAAGACTTTAACACAGAAAGTAGCTCTCTTTCGGAGAGGCAGGACCACTGCAGGAGGAAGAGTAACGTTTTAGCTCTGAGCTCTGACCTCTTGGCTTTCTTCTTTGCATTGGTTCTGTGTTTCTTATTTAATAAGACGGTTGGTTACATCTACAGTCATCCTTGTGGATTCCTGGGAATTTCACTAGCACCAGATTTTTCACATACCCCATAATGTCTCCCTCTATCAAGATGCCTCTTTCATTGCTCTCCCACTCCGTGCCTCCCCCAGCTCAACCATCCCATTCACTCATATTCTCATCCTCCAACCCCTCCCCTCTATTGCCCCCCTCATCCTCAATTTACTCATGGGGATCTCCTCTATTTCAATAAGAGGATTCATTAACTCAAAACCAGGGGTCCAAAATACATTATACTCTTAGTCTTTTGGCAATGAGTAGCTACTTAAGAAGTATCAAAGCCAGGCGGTGGTGGCGCATGCCTTTAATCCCAGCACTCGGGAGGCAGAGCCAGGCGGATCTCTGTGAGTTCGAGGCCAGCCTGGGCTACCAAGTGAGTTCCAGGAGAGGCGCAAAGCTACACAGAGAAACCCTGTCTCGAAAAACCAAAGGAAAAAAAAAAAAAAAGAAGTATCAAATGCCTCAAATCTTCCCAGTTAGGGGCTAAGCTCTCTATAGTTTATCTTCATATTAAAGTTGTCTCTCCTCTACATAGCAAGATGATTGCCAATAGATACAAGTTTTTTATAATCATATGTGAAGAATAAAAGGAAAGAAAATCTGTCCTTACAGTATAGGTGAATACTTATGTTCTTTCACTTACAGTGTGGTGATATCTAGTAAACACATGATAACTTGGAAATATCGTTATGTCAAAAGTGCACTTAGTGGCTTAATACATATAATCTACCTAAAATCATATTTTAGATGAGTCTACCTTAAACATTTTCATAATATTTGTATATGCTTACTTTTGGCAAAAATGACCTAACTAAAATAAATAAATAAATAAAAAGAAAAAGAAAATCAAGATTTAAAAGGGCTGGATTCCCAGCACCCACATTGAGGCTCAAAACTACCTGTAACTCTAGCTCTAGAGAATTAAATGTTCTCTTCTTCCTTCTGTGAGCACTTCATTAACCTGATAAGCAGACATACATGTTAGCAAAACAGTCACACATATAAAACAAAAATAAATAAATCTTTAAAAAAGATTCAAAATTTGAAGTACTACTGAATATATTTCACATTTGTACCACCATAAAATAGAAATATCATAATTAGAAACTCTCTGTACTTACTTTTTAGTTTTATCACCTAAACAGGCCAGGTCCTAAATGTTGAACAAGGAACAGTTATCAAGGAAATGCTATACAGTAGCCTAAATTTTCAGTAGTTACCTTAATATCCAGAAATGGAAATGTGTATCTGGATAAAATTGAGATTCTGTTAGAAATAATAACTGGGTAAATAAATATCGGGAATGATGTGGGATGTTCTGTATGCTGTGAATGTGTGTTGCTCTGATTGGTTGATAAATGAAACACTGATTGGCCAGTAACCAGGCAGGAAGTATAGGCGGGGCAAGCAGACTAAAGGAATTCTGGGAAGAGGAAAACTTCCAACTACAATTGGTGCTCACCATTGGGCATTGAGCCATAGACTTAAGAAAGTTTAAAGATTCTGAATGCACAGAAATGGAGCTACACTGGGCCTTCTAGTCTCACAGTCTCATGCCAGCATCAGCACAAACTCATCTCCTGACAGCTGCCTGTGAGATGGAGCTGGCTGCCAGCCACCATGAGCTAAGCAATATGGCTACAGGTTCCTACCACAGTATATAGAGGCATCTCCAAGCCACACAGTGTGGTGGGTGGTGGATTTAGCCTTTGCTAGTACAGACAAAAAAAAAAAGATGGGGCTGGAGAGATGGCTCAGAGGTTAAGAGCACTGGTTGTTCATTCAGAGGTCCTGAGTTCAACTCCCAGCAACCCATGGTGGCTCACAACCATCCATAATGAGATCTGGTGCCCTCTTCTGGCCTGCAGGTGTATATACAGACAGAACACTGTATACATAATAAATAAATAAATCTTAAAAAAAAAGATGGTCTCTGGGCTACACGCTGCTTTAATGGAGGCATAGACCCACTGCTTCTGAGAGTTGGTGGTTCACATGGCTTCCAGACCCAGAGCTGGCAGTAAATGTATCACCACCATGTTGGAAAACTGAGGTGGGCAGAGCCAGCAGCCAAAGCTGCCATTTCAGTCCTAGTAATGCTGCAGTTTAAAGCAATAGATTCACGATAAGGCAGATTC